GGACAAATGCATTCAGTCAGAAGACATTGCTGAAGGTGTTCTCTATGTTCTACGAACACCTTACAATGTCTGTCCGACGGAAATTAAGTATCGACCGCAATATACTCCATATATGAAAAATTAAAAGGAGAAATCTATAACTAATAAACAAAAGAACTGAGTTAGAAAGCAATTGTAGCATATTGAATAGTTTGAAATAATGTACGATATTACGGGAAAATCCATTGTCCGATTTCTCTTCGTAGTATTGCATTGTATTGGAGTTGCAAGCCAATGCGCCGATCCCTCTGACTAGCAAAGAGATTTGCTATGCCGATGTCACCAGCGTTCTCGTGTTGGAGGCGATATCGTTCGCAATATTCAATGTTAAGGTCATTTGTTTGCGCACAAATTTCACGTATTCGCATCGTAGACATATTTCTAACTGAATCATGGGAAGCAAGTTTCGCACGGCAGAGAGCTCGTAATTGATTTGCATCATTATTAGTGGAGAATATATGCAATAATTCTGCACTACGATGAGTCAGCACATGTCCTTGGACAAACTGGTAAACCTCTTGTTCATTCATATGCGGAAAAATCATCACAACATTAAACCATTTGTGAGGTTTACCTAGTTGTTCAACGAAATTGGCATGCAGCAAAACGTAATTGACAATACCATTGAACGGTGTCAGAGCTGTATTATGATCAGCAATGTGTCTGTTTGTATCGAATACTATTGTAGTGGGTTGATCATCTAAAGGCGCAGGAAGTGGCGTTGCATTCCCTAATTGCATTGCCTAAAAATAAAGAGAGGAACGTTCTGAAACACTACATTTAGTACTAGCAGCATCGTACTAGAGTTTTGTTCAGCTAGTTTTCTTCCTGATGTAGAGGAGCTGTCCTAACTTTGTATAAACTTACCATGCTGTTGTTATCTTGATGTCGAGTGGCTCCGATAGAATTTCAACCGATGCAGAGGAGAAAACTTCTAAAAAAAGGTATATCTAATGGTCATATGAGTATATTTCATTATCAGAAGACGTGAATTCTATGAGGTGCTAATTTTATGATCCACTGTTTAAAAACACTGTTACATTCAAGAATAAAATAGTCTGTCAAATATCCATGTAATGTTCACAACTTAAGTGTGACTTAAATTTTTACTTGACTGATTTAATTTGGAGTCTGCGGCCAACAGTTTGGCATAACGGTTCAGTACCGCACGAGCATCATCTTCGAGTAGTTTGTAGCATTGAGTCGATTTATCGAGTAAACACTCAATGTCTCTTTGACTTCTAGAATTCGTCGCAAATGCGTGATAGGCGATGTCTCGATAGTACTGTCCCAGTTTTTGGTACAATTGGTTGCGCAGATGATCTTCTGAATTAATGCAGGTCATTTTGGAATGTGTTGCAATCGGATGCGTAACCAATTTTTCCGATCCACGTATGCAGAAAAAGTGCAGTAAGCGAGCCTCCGATAAAATATTCTCAGGCGGTGTCGAAGATATAACCACGAGCGGAGCACAAACGTTAGATTGATTTAAGTCAGATAGCATTTGTTCTTCGTCTTGATACACTTTTGTCTGAGCGATACTGGCGTCAACAGTCGGAAATGTAATATCTGGGTCCATGATGATTGCGACCATAACATGATCTCCTTCTTGTATGTTTACAGAATGTTCTGCATGTTGTTGTACATCGATATTCGAACAAGGTGTTTTAATGGAACTCTTCGGTTGATTCTGATGCAGTTTCGCGCCGTCAAGTTTGTCCGCAACGTGATCGCATTTCGAGTGCCCAATGTGCGCGACCATTTTTCTTTTTTGATCGTACAAAGTCGCCATAGGCTTAGCTAATAGTTGTCTATAATTTTCAAGTAGGTTACTCTTATCTGAAAAAGAAATACTCGAGAGTAAGTATGAATACCGATCTTCTGATTTTACTGCTAACACCATAAAAGTGGAATGATGCATTGGAAATTTCCGCGACAAAACATGTTTTGTTTGCATAAGCGACATTTTAAAAAACATCGACGAAGTCACTTTATCAATAAAAACCTGTAACAATGACGACATTATGATTTTACTGTGAGTCTGATTTCGACAAAAATGACTACAGAGTTATGTGAAGAGTGGGGATTTTCCAACATAGGAAAGTGTTTGCGCAATACTTGCTTGCTCAAATTATATTTTATGCGAATGAGTTTTTCCTATTCTTATTTACTGTTTTTCAACAGTGTGAAGGCCTATCATGAATAATTCATCGGAGACTCCGACGCAGTCGTAGCTACCTTTGCAAATATTTTCACGAAGAATTTGTAATTGTGAGAACAGTTTCAGTTGAGTTATAATACCTACCTAGTTCACTGCTGAACAAACATCAGCATTTGTATTTTCCTTCGTTTACTTAAAAAATGCAAAGAAAAGAGTTCCATGCTTGTAGTGAACTGAGTTTTAATCACAACATGTTATTGCATGCATTACGGTTTCTTTTGCGCAGAAAAGCTACTTCCTCCTTCCTCGCAACAACATTTTCAGGAAAAAACCAGGAAGAAAAACATCTATGAATATCAGATTAGAGACTGTTGTTAATGTAAGAGAATGAAAACAGTCACTCACCAAACTATTCCGTCTGTAGAATTAAAATGGATTTCATGAAATGTTCAATTTCGACTATTTATCACAGAGAGAAGAACGAGTTTTGTCTTTGTGTATAAGTTTATTTCATTACAGATAAAAAAATACATTTCATGATATACAATCTACATTCTAACTGATATAGTGCTGGCGAATGGATGCAGGAACACCAGTATATGGTTGAAAGTGAAGTGCATCTAGTGGAGTGAAGTCGATCTCACGTTCAACACCAACATGTCCATTCCATGGATTGACATACATTCCACTATCTTGTGTATAGATGCCATAGCCATAGTNGAATTATGCAACGGTAGATGTTATACACCTGGTGTTCAGCAATGTTATGGGAAAATCATCTGCGCATATGACCAGAAACCGTGTGGTAAAATTTGCTATAAAGTTGGTATACAGAAGTGTCTCAATGATGTAATTTGCGCGTACAATCAAATATTATGTGGTGGTAAATGTTACACATCCGATGCAAAAGAATGTTCGACCAAGAAAACTATGCTGTGATCTTTCTGACTTCTGTTTTGAGTCGGACTGTACTTGGAATTTTAATTAAACGATAATATTTTTTAGAGTTGAATTGTATTCTATCATAATTCTGAAACATTTGCTGGCGAACACTGTGAGATTGATAAGAAACGAGCGACATCTTACGGTTTCTATCCAGCGAATACAAAAAATTTTTCTAAAGCATCAACAATACTTCAACGGCGCATAGGAAAATATTTACTTTTCGATAGCTGCATTACAGAACACACGTGAAACAGTAACTTTGATTACGAAAAACTTACACAACAAAAAGGTAATGTTCTGTATCCATTCAAAGGCAACAAACGTACCTGATAATGTGACTACGTATCTATGAAATAGTGCGCTTTTCATGAATATAGCTTTGTAATGTCTGTCAAACACTCTGTAAATGATGCAGAAGATCACGAAGATGGCATGTGAGTTGTTTCTATTTTTTAATGGTAAGACATTCCATATTGACTTTTACAGGACTTACGATGACGGAGCGGAAGAATTGACATTAGATGAGCACAAAGCACAACTGGAAGCAAAAAGGAAGAGAATGTTGACAAAGTTGCCGAAATTACAAATTCGACAGGCGGATGAAGGTGTCGAATTAAAATTTTACCCAACGCTTCAGTGGGTGTATCGAAAAAATAATGATGCGGGTAAAAAATGGCAACTTCTCAATGACTATATCGAAGAAGAAGCTACTAAAAAAGCAATGACAACACCGACGATTGTTGAAACAGACGATGGATCACATGATTTCACCAATAGCGAAGACAATCAAGATAAAGCAGATGAGGATGAAGAACAGTCGTCAATCCCGATACAAACAGAGCATGTTTTGTCAACTACTGAATTTAAAGAAGCAGCACCTCAACATCCCTATTTCCATACGCAGTTCAGTGATGATTTCAGTGATCGTACTAATCATTTTTCTACGTTTTATTACTAATGTGTCACGAATATATAGAGAAAGGAGGTCGGGACAATATTAACTTTTGAGATTCTTTCGTGAAGAGTTCAACGGTTGCGAATGATATCCACCGCGATTTTTTGATAACTGTCGTTGTTGATGAGTCAATAAAATTCAAAGATGCCTGAGTAGAATCTTTGATTAACAACTGATGAAAACCATAGCTACCGAAGAACCAAGCTTGACGATCGGTATCATTAATCCTGACTTTTTCAGCACCTGATGGAGCAGCGCCTGCGCCATCAGTCACATGAATAAGACCATCGACATTCTTAAAATCTTTTGCTACAATATTACCTGCGTTATCCAATGAATGTGACCACAGAAATAAAAATAAACTTTGTATTGACTGAGAAGAGGCTTAAAGGTAAGTTTACATGACTCGCAGTTCTCTGATGGCGGAATAATTGCCTGTCCAACTAAAAATAGGTCGACGACCAGTTGCGATGATCCACGGGACTTTAGTACGTTGTGCCGGATCAGTAGCTTTTCTTTAGATCGGCTTCTAGCAATGTCACTTGTGCAGATGTAACAACGAAATAACCCGCATTTAATGTCATGCCTGGCCCTGCTTATGTATTGATCAAGTCTGTTTCCGTGTTCAACATTATGACATGAACTGGACCATAATCGAAAGAGTAGCACATACTTTTATAAACACCGCTCATTTCACCAGACATGCAAAATCGATTTTGGTATGCGGTAAAGTTTCGTAGATAGTCCGAACATACAGCATCGCTATCTTGTTTAGTGTCATACGCCACCTGGGGTGAAAGTGTGTCGTCCATGAGACTGTCACGCCTGTGGGTCGTAAAAGCAAGACGAATATGTTTTGGTTTATTTTTTGGAAACGATGAACATAACGTTGTTTAATATCTTCTTGGTCATTTTGTTTTCGGTTAATCTTTTTTCGTTAATCTGCAGCTAACTTTCTAGGTATGGTGACACAAAACTTGATGTCAAAGACTCGTTAAAAACACTTTGACAAAAACGTGTGTGCAGATTATTCGTCTCTCCTCATTTAGGTTGTTCGGTGTAGTTATTCAAGGAATACGAGCAAAGTCATGTGAGTCATTTAGAAGGTCAGGATAAGTATAGATATGAACCCAAGAGTACTTCATGACTTCATAATTCTTTTTTTAGGAAAGAAAATCGAAGCAGAAGGTTAGGTTTTTTAAGCCTTGCTTGATGTTGTTTGCTTATTGTACGACAATTGGGTACAGTTTTCTACGTGAGCCGACTGGAATTATGATAAGTGTTTTTTGAAATGGACCTGGCCATTTTCCTCGTTCCAATGTGGTACTTAACTGTACGACACATCAATTGATTTGAAATAACAATGAACATCGCTCCAGAATCAAGCCAACCATTGAATAAGAGAACAACTTCATCACTTTGGCTGTAATTCCAAGAGATTCCATTCGTCACTCCTACAGACCGACACATTTTGAGGATAAGACTTCGTCCCTGGTCAAAAAAAGTCATGACTAGCTAGTAGGCGAGAGATGAACTATCGACGGTGAATCAAGATAGGCATGTGACGGTTCGTTATAATAGGCAACTTCATTTATATCTAAACCTGAACCCTCCAGTGGCTTGCATGAGCAAAATGAAATGAAATATAGGATAAATAATCGAAACATGAGCATAAGGATATATAGTTTTTAAATAAATGGAAATATGGCAGTTGACGATACGAGAATTACAAGGAAAAGACAAAAGAATACAATAAAAATAAAGTAAAAGCAATGAAAAGAAAAGTTTCAAAAAGAGTATTGTTCAAATGCATTAATCACATGTAACTTGAGGATCTATACGTGTCAGTTTAGAATTTGCCGAATTGGACAATATTAGCACATAATTATCCAAAAGTAATGCATCAAAATATCCACCGCCGATACTCCAGCTACCTAAACTCGCTCCATTGGCATCATAAATTCGAATACCATAACCATAAACTGTAAACCATCGACGATCGCAATCATCGACGAATACATGCGCTCCGTAGGTGTTAGGGGCTGGTGCAGTGGCAAAGAGTGATTGTGTCCAATTTGCTGACTGGGTATTATATTTGTAAGAGTATATCGAAGGAATACTCCATGCTGCAACGTAGTAAAACGAATCATTCAGTGGGAATAAACCATGTGGTGTATAGTAATTAACTGTCGTGTAGGTTATCAGTGGATAATATGTATCGTTGACCACTGCATAGTAGTAAATACAGTTGTTGTCAGCCGAAGCAACAACCATTGTTGATCCATTATTTAAAAAAATTATATCTCGAACACCTTTCATAGGTGTTGCTCCTCCATTAATATTGGTTAAATACACTAAAGAATTATTAGTTTGACCTTTCTTGAACACAGATATTGTATGATTATTATTAATTCCGATGTAAAACTTGTCTTGATAATGACCGATATTTGCCACCGTAGCGTTAATTGGAATATGTTCAAGAAGCGTCAAAGTCCGGGGATCTAATCGATCAAAGTAGGATTGTCCATTGGCTGTCTGCTCGATAGTGACCAATGACCCGTTGTTATCAATAAGGAGACACCGAGGTTGTGTGATAGTGACATTAATCATAGGATTCGCCGCATTTTGAAGTTTTTGCAATAATAACGTTGTGTTTGACATGCAGCATGGATTGCTTGCATTAGGTAAGATACTTTGAGGGAAATAAACACGGCTATTGCTCGATGATTGATATTGATACGTGCGAGGGTATTGAGTGAACAATTCGCAGGTGGAGTTTGCATAACAGTTTATTGCTAGTATCAAAGAATTTTGTAATGCTGAACAAAGACACTGGTCACATGAGATATTTGTCAAGAGTGTCGTGTTTAGTTTGGGTCGAATCGGTACGAGAATAGCGTTGTTTATGAAAGGAATCGTTTTACATTGTATCCCAAGGAGAAAATAACAAAAGAGAATGTATGTGCTCCAATTCATGTTGCCAAACAAAATGATGTAGTCATGTTTTCTTTTGGCCTGTTAATGGTAATTGCTGGTATCTCTGAAGGAATATGAATAAATAATTATCGTTAACATTTGCAAAGTGTTCAGCTTTAGCAACCATTCATCATTGAAAGTGCCTTTTTTTTTACGTATGCACTTTTTCTCGCGAACAATTCCTTCTTTCTTCCTCGCAAATTATGCTGAGAGAAAGGGACGTTTTATGCATAATTATCTAGTGTGAAATATAACAAACATACAAGTGCCGTGGGAGCAGGCATTCCTAATATCACACCAAACATCTGACTATACATGTCTTACTGTCATGGCGTTATACACGACATCTATATGAGCCCGCATAGAGAAAAACGTGTGACCTATATTCTTCTTATCGCTTCAAGTTTTGCTTTCACTCTTCGTCGATTCAACGCAATATCACGCATATGTCATCTGTATACGATATAATCATCGTCGGAGGTGGTATCGTAGGGCTCGGAGTTTTTCGTCAACTAACTTTGAATGGATTTCAAAGTATTCTTCTCTTGGAGAAATCCTCGCAAATCCTAACTGGAGCAAGTTCAGGAAATAGTGGCATTTTACATACAGGCTTTGACGCGGTACCTCATACATTAGAATCAAAACTTGTAAAACGTGGCTATCATTTGTATCAGTCCTTTAGACAGGATGTTGAACTACCAATAAAAAAGATCGGCGCATATCTGATCGCATGGAAAGAGGACGATTTGCAAATTCTGAAAGAAGTCAAAGATACTGCTCATCAAGTATATATTCCTTTGAAAACACTAGCACGCACCTCAAGTGACAAATCATTTCTTATTTAGAACGATGTACTTGACATCGAAGAGATTTCTTCAACAATGCTATACGAACGTGAACCTCTATTAAGACATGGAGCATTAGCAGCTTTGCATATTCCCGGTGAATCGGTAGTAGATCCTTTAACGTTACCCTTGATTTTATTAATGCATGGGAAAATCTTTGGCGGACACATTCAAACCAATGTCGAAGTCATCAATGGTGAATACGATTACAAAAATCAATGTTGGGCATTGAACGATGGACAATATCGCAGTCGCATTGTCGTCAACTGTGCTGGTCTCTATGGTGATATTGTCGAACAAATCCGTATCAAACAACAGAAGTCATCAACAAATACATTCACCATTCAGCCGCGAATGGGCCAGTTTTCTGTTTACTCACCACCACCAGGCACGTCACCCCTGAAGTCAATTATTTTACCAATACCGACAAAATTTACCAAAGGCGTCATTGTCTACCCGAATTTATTCAATCAGATTATTGTTGGACCAACAGCACAAACTCAATTTGATCGATCGCAAGCACCCATAAAATCAGATGTAACACGAATGTTACACGAAAAGATCAATGAGCTTATACCGTCATGTGCAAACTCCAATTATACGCGCATTGGATCTTATACTGGCATAAGGCCAGCAACAGAACATTCGGACTATCAAATCCATGCTTACAACGAAATACAGTGGATTTGTTGTGGTGGAATACGTTCGACAGGATTAACATCATCATTAGCCATCGGCGAGTACATTTATGAACTAGTCAATGAAATGAGCCGCGAAAGAAAATATCAGCTACATTGTGCTGGTTATTCTGCCGAAAGATATTCTCGATCGCTGGATCAATTGAAAGTAATGTTTATCGCAACACCGCAAGGTTTGCAGCCAAAGTTAATAATGAAAGATTCAACATTAACAGTATCTGCAGGAGATATAGAGTTCACTGATGAGATCAATATTACGAACTTGAAAATAGAATGTAACGGTGAACTGTTTGATGTGTCACATTCGTTATTAAAATTAGCGTGGATGACAACAAACTCATCGTTTATCACTCCTCACGCATGTTCAGACTAGCTTTTTTCTCCTCTCGATTTATGTTTAAAAATAAAGGTTCGTTGTACTTTCCGTTTAGAACGGTCTATTAGTAGCAGTATGAATCACACGAAGAGCTGACACAGCAGTGGTATTGCACAATGGAAGAGTATTAGTAGTCATTGGTCGTTTCCCTGACAACCGCTCCAAGAATTACAATAGTAAAATGACACGTGTATGGCGACATCTGATCTGAATTTTCTGATTTGTGATACATTTCGAGTTTGACCTCTAGCATGTGCTGGTAAAAAGTTGGAATAGGCACGATCATTCACAGTTATTATGATATCGAATCGTCTAACTCTGTCAATTGACGCATTACCCGTGGAGATTCTTCACATTATCTTCGATAATCTCGATGCTCAGACAATTTTCTTCTCGATTCGATCACTATCACGATTTTTTCGCTCGGTTGTTCATTCTTATAATCGCTACGCGTTAAATTTGAGCTTCATTTCCAAATCTAATTATCAACAGCTATGTCGATGCATTCCTCCAGAAAGTATTTATTCACTAACACTTTCCAATGATCATCGTCGCTTAAATCAAATCAATGTGCTTATATCACTTCTTAATCTTTCACAAGCATCTCGACTTCACTCATTGAAACTTCTTGATATCTCTGAACAACAACTCAATTGGATTTTACAATCCATCGATCTCAAAATACTAGTTTACCTTTCATGTCGTTTGAGAAAATCTAGTAAACACTGTGCAGAGGTAACTAACGTACCGCCTACATTAACTGTCTTACAAACATCGCTTACGCATCTAGAATTTAAAGCATCTTTAACAGCCATGCAATCAGACGGTGTGTTGTCAACTGGTGATACCGCTGCCCTAATTATGTTCGAAGATCGCATGCGTATCGATGCTCTTTGCCAATTGGTACAATGTTCTCCGTATTTGTGCTCCCTAAATATTACCGATGTTCCATTCGGAACTGTGAATCATGCACGTTTCAGATCGTTTTCGCAACTGAAATCGTTAACATTTACTGATCTATCGGTTGATATCAATGACTTGGAATCATTCCTTGCACTCACTCCAGCTCTCGTGTATCTCAAACTAATCGGCGGAAGACGTATGCTAAATGGAAAGCGATGGGAAGAATTCATTCAAGTCAATCTACCACATTTAGAAAACTTTCGATTTTATTTTCGCGAAGCAAGATCGAGAGAATCTACATCACAAGATTTGGAAAATACGCTTAACCTATTTAAATCACCTTTCTGGACAGAATACAAAAAATGGTTCGTTGCTTGCCAAAATTTGTGTCGATATCAGGCATTTATTTCTATTTGCGTCTATTCAATTCCAATTTGTATATCTCATGTGGATGACTGTAAATCAACACTTGCAATAGAACCACTAATTACTTCAAGTCGTGATATGCTCACAATGCATAGTATCCGATCGATGGCTTTGACTATAGATAGAACAACAGTGTGCAATTTACAAAAACAAGTAGATTCTCGTTAATCTTCCAGCTAAACATGTTTCTAACGAGTATTTTTTTAGAGCTTACTGATCGATCGTCCATTATTTCGTAATGTTACTGATATTGAGTTGGAGTTCTCTAACGATGAGTCTAATGTGTCACTAAATTCACTTTCGGAGTTCATCGATCTTTCTCGATTAGTACACGTGAAAATTTCGAATAGCTATTCGCATAAAATAACTAACCATTTACTAGCGGATATTAAGCATTTCCTTAGAGCACTACCAAATCTTACTTCGCTGTTGATTCACAGCGATTTCTACTTAAACAAACCATTTCTTACGATAGAAGAGGTTCTCGCAATTATTCCATCTCACGTCCAATATTTACAAATCCCAATCGATCAAATCGACCAAATCGATATGGTTTGGCAAACATGTCAAAACCTGTCAATCATCGAATTGCAAGTCAATAAGTACACATTGCTATCTGCAATCATCAAATGGTTTGACAAGAATAGCGTTAATACAATATGTAGATATGATCGTATGGCCGTGGTCGTATGGTTGGGAAAGCGTATTTCCCCATCGAGTGAATCAGATCACAGAAGGAAACGAATAAAATTGCTCAGCAGTTCAGAGAAAATCTAGATCATCACTTTTAAGCTTTACTTTAAATAATAAATTCGTCAACAAAAGTGAATGTTAGTTTTGTCAAAGATTTTTCCAATGATAGTTTTGACAAATTTCGGCACCCATGGCGATATAGAATCTTTCGTTATTCCGTCTTTTCTTCCGTTGTGCAGCAATGGACCTAAATATAATATACAACTTCATACTCCTCAATCAGATCTATACCTGTCATTGTATTATCCACATAGCTGTCGAAGTAATCAAATGGGTATTGATGGGAAGTCATATAAATGCAAGTTAGGCGATTTTCTTCGATATGAAAGAAAACATATTCGTAATTATCATTTTATATGACGAAAAAAGACGCAATCAATTATGATTTTGATGTTATCGATTCGACATGCTCGACTGCATTGAGATGTCATGTACTGTTTTCTAATCATCATTGCACATAGATTTTCAAATATTGTGAAATAACGACACATTTATTCCTTTCATTGAAAGATCATCTGTATACAGGCAAATACCGACCGTCTTTTTTTTCTTTCTTATTCTAACAAAATGTGCGCAGCCGATAGTAATTGACACCGCTTATTTTCTGTAAATATAACTTTCAAAACAGAACAGCTAACAAAGAAATGAGAGCATGCTTGTGCACACTATTGACATCAGCTTAAGCGATATCATAATATTTCTCCTGCGTCATTCTCGTGGGCTTATCGATATGCTTCTTATAAAACGACAAGCTTTCCTTCTCTCAGAGCATAAATTCATAATGCTCGTATTTCTTACAGTTTTGTTTCTACTGGCAGGTAACAGTGACGCTTTACAATGTTTGACGAACTGTTCACTTGGTAAGTATAGGTTTAATACGCCACTCGTCGCTGATAACAAGGAATGCCAGCAACGTGTTTCTGCATCGAAATGTTCCGTCGATGTGGAGTTCGCTTATCATTCTAAGACGTACGAAGTTACTCATGAGCATAATTCCAATTCGCGAGATTTCATCTACATTACCATGCAGCCAACTCTATCCTATGATATTCGGTACGCATGCTCAGAGAATACCAATTGTGCTCTTTCGTATGCTCAAAATAGAATTACTACAATGACCTCCCAGTACTACGATGTTTATCGTCTCCATGCTCAACTGGCACCACTGATCGAGAATTCTTCTACAAGCAACTCTATCCAATGTTACAATATGAAAAATGCCATCGTTTTATGTGCACCAGGCGAAGTCTGTAATGTAGATTATAATCCGCGAGATCACAGAGCGAGAGCACGTGGCTGTAAATATCTCAGTATGCCTGTAGTAATGGTTTATGACAGCGAAACGTATACATCTTTCGATATTACTTGCAATCGTAATTTATGCAATGGCGACATAACATTGTCCGAAGTCAAAAGAATACTTGCTGAACATGGTTTAACTGATTCTAGTGGTCGACGAATTGCTGCAGGAACTAGGGAGATGGTTTCTGTTTTTCTGCTACTGGTTACTTCGATATTCGTCCTGTCTTTTTATTTTTAATATACACTTTTTATTATTTTCATAGAATGAATGTAAGAATATGGGCAAAAGGCGGTATATATGCAGACCTATACCAATACTTATAATTCTTAACCATGATGTTTTATGTAAAGATATATATGTCAATTTATTTTCTCAATCAGATCTAGGTTGAGTCGGAAGCGAACACGTGATAGATAAAATAAAACACACCATAAATGAGAGTCCGCAGTGCTATTTATATGTAATCAAATACGCTGCATATGCGTGGGTATCGCGTGGTAAGTGACAACAATATGCTTTCCGTCGGTCGTTGAGTCGAATCCAACAGGATGAGTTTTCATTGACGTATTACCTAGAATATAGGTGCTGTATGAGCCGACTGAAATTGGATATAATCGATTTAAATTTGTCTCCGATATCTGGTATCACAAAGCGTATCTACTATTTTCTTTCGATTTGTCCCGTGTTGCGAATAATTGACAGTTCAATGTTTTACCACCATCTATTGAAAACAAGATTGTTAAACTTGGAATAGCTTCCATTCATCAGAAAGTAAATATAAAGTGTTTCATTAGAGAATCATTGATAGAGGACAAGTCAATAGAAACTACGTATATTGAGAATGAAACCTTCAAATTCTGTTGATCTTTATTGTCACAAGGTAAAATAAAATTGATTTGAAAGAAATCTTCTCTTTCTCAGAAAATTATCGAAGAAAAAACTAAAAGATTTAAATGTTGAAAATTAATCAATCATTTCGTTTTTCTCATTAAAAATCTTTTTCTTTTCAAGACGAGGAAATTTTTCATTTATGAACTTTGAAATCTCTTTTGAGGCAACGATCTACGTGTTATTCGCAAAGAAAACGTCTTTATACTAAATGATTTTCTATAAAATACTCAACTGAAAAATCGAACGAATTTTGTTTTTTTTTTGGTTGAAAAGAAAATAAAAATGAACATTTCTCTTTATTTTCTTCATTAATTTTCTCGAGAATTTTTCTTTCAACTTTGTTTCTCATTTCGAAACGCATTTTATTTCGATTTTGAGATTTAAAATAAAATGTTTCTTCTTTCAAATGATCAACTCAAAGCGTTGAATTCGATCACTTCCACGATCAACAACATAAAGATTTCCTTCACCATCAACTGATAAACCGTGGGGATAAGATAATTGATTAGGCTCATCTCCTTGTCCATTTCCACCAACAATTATTTCACCTTCTTCGTCTCCTTCACACCATCGCATTATTCGATGATTTGCGCGATCTGCAGCATAAATTCGACCCTCATGATCAACAATGATTCCTTGAGGATCATTCAATCGATTCAGCTTCTTTCCGTTTCCATTTCCACCAACAACAACAATTCCTTCCTGTGCATCTTTTCTCCATNTCACTCTTCGATATCTTATCATTCAAATAAACTCATCTATTCAACATGCTCGGACGAACAACTCTTGTCAGCAACAACTGGAATGGTGACTATCACACCATCGGCTTTGGTAACTATGGCTATGGCATCTATACACAAGATAGTGGAATGTATGTCAATCCGTGGAATGGACATGTTGGTGTTGAACGTGAGATCGACTTCACTCCACTAGATGCACTTCACTTTCAACCATACACTGGAGTTCCTGCATCCATTCGTCAACACTATATCAGTTAGAATATAAATTGTGTATAATAAAATGTATTTTTTTTATCTGTAATGAAATAAAATTTAGAAAAAATACAATATGTTTGTTTCAAGAAAGATGACTAAGCCTGATAGTAGTTTTAGTATAAACATTGAACTGCGTCCTGTGTTTACTGTAATATAAAAATTAGCAACCAAGATAGTTTTAAACACTGTAGAGGCTGCAAACGATAGGATCCTAGAAACAACGCATGAGGTTATTGGCCGGTAAATGATACCTAGATATATGATATAGTTTTCGTTTTATATATTTCCTTGTGCGAGGTGAGACTGAAAATAATTATTTTTATTCCAGTTGTTATCGAAACACTTGAGTGATCCGCTTCTATTTTTATACACAATTTATAAGTATTGATCGAACTATGTGCAGTATGATGTGTTTATTGAGCATATGTATATCCAATATATTCGAAAATTTCTGTTGCCCAAAATATATCGAGTCACTATATTGTTTTTTGTTTTCCGCGTCTATTTTGACGTATTTGCATAAATCAAATTTACATTACTATGAAGACGCACGATTCATCAAATGTGAAAGGAAAATGAGGTAAATGTCAAACTTTCGGAACGCTCTCAACGGCGTTTTCGTTCGTGCGAAGATTGCTCGGATGAATATCTACCACGAATGATTGCATAATAAGAAGAATATTATACCTTTTACTATTCTTTTCGTTTTTTTTTCATACGATATATAGAATAGCATGAAAAACACGTCCATTCTAAAAGTACTCTGAACAAATTTCGTTTTGTCTGAGCAAAGGTGACATCAACAAAAAGCAATACCTGTGCGATTATTTCATATTTTACGAATATGATACTAGCTGCTTTCATTCTTTTATTATTGCTCGTCAATCTGCCCAGGACGTCAGCTGCAAGTACATGTGCCATCGGTCGACAATTTTGTGGTAACGTTTGCTACGCACCAGGAGTACAAAAATGCATCAATCAGGTGATTTGCAGTTATCATCAAGAATTATGCAACGGTAGATGTTATACACCTGGCGTTCAGCAGTGTTATGGAAAAATCATCTGCGCATACGACCAGAAACCGTGTGGTAACGTTTGCTATAAAGTTGGTATACAGAAGTGTCTCAATGATGTAATTTGCGCGTACAATCAAATATTATGTGGTGGTAAATGTTACACATCCGATGCAAAAGAATGTTCGACCAAGAAAACTATGCTGTGATCGTTCAGACTTCTGTTTTTAGTCGTACTGTTCTTGAAATTGTAATTAAACGATAATATTCTGTAGAGTTGCATTGCATTCTATCATAATTCTGAAACTTTTGCAGGCGAGTGCTGTGAGATTGATAAGAAACGAGCGACATCATGCGATTTCTATCCAGCGAATACAAAAACTTTTTCTAAAGCATCAACAATACTTCAACGGCGCATAGGAAAATATTTGTTTTTCGATAACAACATTACAGAACACACGTGAAGTAGTTACCTTGATTACGAAAAACTTACACAACAAAAAGGTAATATTCTTTCTCCATTCGAAGGCAAGAAACGCATCCGATAATGTGAATACGTATCTATGAAATAGTGCGCTTTTCATGAATATAGCTTTGTAATGTCTGTCAAATACTCTGTAAATGATGCAGAAGATCAAGAAGATGGCATGTGAGTTGTTTCTACTTTTTAATGGTAAGACATTCCATATTTTGCCATATTGACTTTTACAGGACTTACGATGATGAAGCGGGAGAATTGACATTAGATGAGCACAAAGCACAACTGGAAGCAAAAAGGAAGAGAATGTTGACAAAGTTGCCGAAACTACAAATTCGACAGGCGGATGAAGGTGTCGAATTAAAATTTTACCCAACGTTTCAGTGGGTGTATCGAAAAACTAATGATGCGGGTAAAAAATGGCAACTTCTCAATGACTATATGGAAGAAGAAGCTGCTAAAAAAGCAATGGGAACGCCGACGAGTGTTGAAACAGACGACGGATCACATGATTTCACCAATAGCGAAGAAAATCAAGATAAAGCAGATGAGGATGAGGAACAGTCGTCCATCCCGATACAAACAGAGCATGTGTTGTCGACTACTGAATCTAAAGAAGCAGCACCTCAACATCCCTTTTTCCATACGCAGTTCAGTGATGATGTCAGTGATCGTACTAATAATTTTTCTACGTTTTATTACTAATGTGTCACGAACATATAGAGAAAGAAGATCATGAAGAGTTCAACGGTTGCGAATGATATCCACCGATTTGATAATTGTTGTCGTTGATGAGTCAATAAAATTCAAACTCGCTTGAGAAGAATCTTTGATTAACAACTGATGAAAGCCATAACCACCGAAGAACCAAGCTTGACGATCGGTATCAATAATCCTGACTTTTTCAGCATCTGATGGAGCAGCGCCTGCTCTATCAGTCACATGGATAAGACTGTCGACATTCTTAAAACCTTTTGCTACAATATTACCTGCGTTATCCAATGCATGTGACCACAGAAATAAAAATAAACTTTGTATTGACTGAGAAGAGGCATAAAGGCAAGTTTACATGACTCGCAGTTCTCTGATAGCGGAATAATTGCCTGTCCAGATAAAAATTGGTCGACGATCAGTTGCGATGATCCACGGGACTTTAGTACGTTGTGCCGGATCAGTAGCTTTTCTTTAGATCAGCTTCTAGCCATGTCACTTGAGCAGATGTACCAACGAAATGATCCGCATTTAATGCCGTTCCTGGTCCTGCTGGTACATTGACAAAGTCTGCTCCCGTATTCAACATTATGACATGAACTGGACCATAATCGAAAGAGTACCACATATTTTTATAACCACCGCTCATTTCACCTGGGGTGAAAGTGTGTCGTCCATGAGACTGTCACGCCTGTGGGTCGTAAAAGCAAGACGAATATGTTTTGGTTTATTTTTTGGAAACAATGATCATAATGATCCATTGACACAGTTTAAAAATGTAAACAAAATATAGACGATGAAAACAACGTTGTTTAATACCTTCTTGGCGATTTTGTTTTCGATTAATCTTTTTCCGTTAATCTGCAGCTAACTTTATAGGTATGATGACACAAAACTTGATGTCAAAGATTCGTTTAAAATACTTTGACAAAAGAGTGTGTACAGACTATTATCGTCTCTCCTCATTCAAGGAATACGAGCAAATTCATGTGCGTCATTTAGAAGGTCAGGATAAGTATAGTTATGAGCCCAGGAGAACTTCATGACTTCATAATTCTTTTTTTTAGGAGTAAAAGTCGAAGCAAAAGATTAGGTTCTTCCAGGATCAAATCGGAACCGTCGTCACAATTCCATTCACTACAACTTGATTTGTCTCGATAAAATTGCCGATCTACATAATGAAAACCGATGTAATCGAAACTTTCGTTTGCGTCTAAACTCGTTTCACTATATAATAGTCAATCAGCAACAATATACTAATCATGCAGCTGTTCTAAATCGCTTGTATAAGACAAACTCATTATATTTTGTTGGTCAACGCATCTCGCCTGGAAAATCGATAATTGATACGAATGACAATGTATTCAATGTTGTATTTAATTCTAAAATTATGGCTACATTCGCTACACGTAGTTGTGTATTGTCTCTTTCCACGACGATGATGATATTTCCTTGTATAAATAGCCTGGAGTAGTTAGATTTCGATAAGTCGGTGGTAACCATTTTCTGTCGAACTGTAGTGCAGACGTTATTTTCCAGTTTATAGGGCACAGATGACAGCTAATAATCGCTACTTGAAATGGACCTGACCATTTCCTCGTTTCAATGCGGTACTTAACTGTACGACACATCATTTGATTTGAAATAACAATGAATATCGCATGAGCAAAATGAAATGAAATATAGGATAAATAATCGAAACAGGAGCAGAAGGATATATAGTTTTTAAATAAATGGAAATATTGCAGTTGACGATACGAGAATTACAAGGAAAAGACAAGAGAATATAATAAAAATAAAGTGAAAGTAATGAAAAGAAAAGTTTCAAAAAAAGTATTGTTCAAATGCATTAATCACACGTAACTTGAGGATCTATACGTGTAAGTTTAGAATTTGCCGAATTTGACAATATTAGCACATAATTATCCAAAAGTAATGCATCAAAATATCCACCGCCGATACTCCAATTACCTAAACTCGCTCCATTAGCATCATAAATTCGAATACCATAACCATAAACTGTAAACCATCGACGATTGCAATCATCGACGAATATATGCGCTCCGTAGGCGCTAGGGGCTGGTGCAGTGGCAAAGAGTGATTGTGTCCAATTTGCTGACTGGGTATTGTATTTGTAAGAGTATATCGAAGGAATACTCCATGCTGCAACGTAGTAAAACGAATCATTCAGTGGGAATAAACCATGTGGTGTATTGTAATTAACTGTCGTGTAATTTATCAGTGGATAATATGTATCGTTAACCACTGCATAGTAGTAAATACAGTTGTTGTCAGCCGAAGCAACAACCATTGTTGATCCGTTATTTAAAAAAATTATATCTCGAACACCTTTCATAGGTGTTGCTCCTCCATTAATATTGGTTAAATACACTAAAGAATTATTAGTTTGACCCTTCTTGAACACAGATATTGTATTATTATTATTAATTCCGATGTAAAACTTGTCTTGATAATGACCGATATTTGCCACCATAGCGTTAATTGGAATATGTTCGAGAAGTGTTAAAGTCTGGGGATCTAATCGATCAAAGTAGGATTGTCCATTGGATATCTGCTCGATAGTGACCAATGACCCGTTGTTATCAATAAGGAGACACCGAGGTTGTGTGATAGTGACATTAATCATAGGATTCGCCGCATTTTGAAGTTTTTGCAATAATAACGTTGTGTTTGACATGCAGCACGGATTGCTTGCATTAGGTAAGATACTTTGAGGGAAATAAATACGGCTATTGCTCGATGATTGATATTGATACGTGCGGGGATATTGAGTGAACAATTCGCAGGTGGAGTTTGCATAACAGTTTATTGCTAGTATCAGAGAATTTCGTAATGCTGAACAAAGACACTGGTCACACGGGATATTTGTCAAGAGTGTCGTATTTAGTTTGGGTCGAATCGGTACGAGAATAGCGTTGTTTATGAAAGGAATCGTTTTACATTGCATCCCAAGGAGAAAATAATAAAAGAGAATGTATGTGCTCCAATTCATGTTGCCAAACAAAATGATGTAGCGGTGTTTTCTTTTGGTCTGTTAATGGTAATTGCTGGTATCTCTGAAGGAATATGAATAAATAATTATCGTTAACATTTGCAAAGCGTTCAGCTTTAGCAACTTTTCATCATTGAAAGTTCCTTTTTTTATGTATGCACTTTTTCTCGCAAATTATGCTGAGAGAAAGGGACGTTTTACGCATAATTATCTAGTTTGAAATATAGCAAGCATACTAGTGCCGTGGGAGCAGGCATTCCTAATATTACACCAAACATCTTACTATACATGTCTTACTGTCATGCCGTTATACACGACATCTATATGAGCTCGCATAGAGAAAAACGTGTGACCTTATTCTTCTTATCGCTTCAAATTTCATTTTCACTCTTCTTCGATTCAACGCAATATCACGCATATGTCATTTGTGTACGATATAATCATCGTCGGAGGTGGTATCGTAGGGCTCGGAGTTTTTCGTCAACTAACTTTGAATGGATTTCAAAATGTTCTCCTCTTGGAGAAATCCTCGCAAATCCTAACTGGAGCAAGTTCAGGAAATAGTGGCATTTTACATACAGGCTTTGATGCGGTGCCGCATACATTAGAATCAAAACTTGTAAAACGTGGCTATCATTTGTATCAGTCCTTTAGACAGGATATTGAACTACCAATAAAAAAGATCGGCGCATATCTGATCGCATGGAAAGAGGACGATTTGCAAATTCTGAAAGAAGTCAAAGATACTGCTCATCAAGTATATATTCCTTTGAAAACACTAGCACGCACCTCAAGTGACAAATCATTTCTTATTTAGAACGATGTACTTGACATCGCAGAGATTTCTTCAACAATGCTATACGAACGTGAACCTCTATTAAGACATGGTGCATTAGCAGCTTTGCATATTCCCGGTGAATCGGTAGTAGATCCTTTAACGTTACCCTTGATTTTATTAATGCATGGGAAAATCTTTGGCGGACACATTCAAACCAACGTCGAAGTCATCAATGGTGATTACGATTACAAAAATCAATGTTGGGCATTGAACGATGGACAATATTGCAGTCGCATTGTCGTCAACTGTGCTGGTCTCTATGGTGATATTGTCGAACAAATCCGTATCAAACAACAGAAGTCATCAACAAATACATTCACCATTCAGCCGCGAATGGGCCAGTTTTCTGTTTACTCACCACCACCGGGCACGTCACCCCTAAAGTCAATTATTTTACCAATACCGACAAAATTTACCAAAGGCGTCATTGTCTATCCGAATTTATTCAATCAGATTATTGTTGGACCAACAGCACAAACTCAATTTGATCGATCGCAAGCACCCATAAAATCAGATGTAACACGAATGTTACACGAAAAGATCAATGAGCTTATACCATCATGTTCAAACTCCAATTATACGCGCATTGGATCTTATACTGGCATACGGCCAGCAACAGAACATTCGGACTATCAAATCCATGCTTACAGCGAAATACAGTGGATTTGTTGTGGTGGAATACGTTCGACAGGATTAACATCATCATTAGCCATCGGCGAGTACATTTATGAACTAGTCAATGAAATGAGTCGCGAAAGAAAATATCCGCTACATTGTACTGGTTATTCTGCCGAAAGATATTCTCAATCGCTGGATCAATTGAAAGTAATGTTTATTGCAACACCGCAAGGATTGCAGCCAAAGTTAATAATGACAGATTCAACATTAACAGTATCTGCAGGAGATATAGAGTTTACTGATGAGATCAATATTACGAACTTGAAGATAGAGTGTAACGGTGAGCTGTTTGATGTGTCACATTCCTTATTAAAATTAGCGTGGATGACAACAAACTCATCGTTTATCACTCCTCACGCATGTTCAGACTAGCTTTTTTTTCGTCTCGATTTATGTTTAAAAATAAAGGTTCGTTGTACTTTCCGTTTAGAACGATCTATTAGTAGCAGTATGAATCATACGAAGAGCTCACACAGCAGCGGTATTGCACAATGAAAGAGTATTAGTAATCATTGGTCGTCTCTCTGACGACCGCTCCAAAATTTATAATAGTAAAATGGGACGTGTATGGCGACATCTGATCTGAATTTTTCTGATTTGTGATACATTTCGAGTTTGACCTCCAGCATATGTTGGGGAAAAGTTAGAATAGGCACGATCATTCACAGTTATTATGATATCGAATCGTCTAACTCCGTCAATTGACGCATTACCCGTGGAGATTCTTCACATTATCTTTGATAATCTCGATGCTCAGACAATTTCCCTCTCGATTCGATTACTATCACGATTTTTTCGGTCGGTTGTCCATTCTTATAATCGCTACGCGTTGAATTTGAGCTTCACTTCCAAATCTGATTATCAACAGCTATGTCGATGCGTTCCTCCTGAAAATATTTATTCACTAACACTTTCCAACGATCATCATCGCTTAAATCAAATCAATGTGCTTATATCATTTCTTAATCTTTCACAAGCATCTCGACTTCACTCATTGAAACTTCTTGATATCTCTGAACAACAACTTAATTCGATTTTAGAATCCATCGATCTCAAAATACTAGTTTACCTTTCCTGCCGTTTGCGAAAATCTAGTAAAAACTGTGCAGAGGTAACTAACGTACCGCCTGCATTAACTGTCTTACAAACATCACTTACGCATCTAGAATTTAAAGCATCTTTAACAGCCATGAGATCAGACGGCGTGTTGTCAGTTGGTGATACTGCTGCCCTAATTATGTTCGAAGATCGCATGCGTATCGATGCTCTTTGCCAATTGGTGCAATGTTCTCCGTATTTGTGTTCCCTAAATATTACCGATGTTCCATTCGGAACTGTGAATCATGCACGTTTTAGATCGTTTTCGCAACTGAAATCGTTAACATTTACTGACTTATCGGTGGATATCAAGGACTTGGAATCATTCCTTGCACTCACTCCAGCTCTCGTGTATCTGAAACTAATCGGCGGAAGACGTATGCTAAATGGAAAGCGATGGGAAGAATTTATTCAAATCAATCTACCACATTTAGAAAAGTTTCAATTCTATTTTCGCGAAGCAAGATCGAGAGAATCTATATCACAAGATTTGAAAAATACACTTAACCTATTCAAATCGCCTTTCTGGGCAGAATACAAAAAATGGTTCGTTGCTTGCCAGTGCCTGTGTCAATATGAGACATATATTTCTATTTGTGTCTATTCGATTCCAATTTGTATATCTCATATGGATGACTGTAAATCAACACTTGCAACAAAACCACTAATTACTTCAAGTCGTGATATGCTCACAATGCATAGTATCCGATCAATGGCTTTGACTGTAGATAGAACAACAATGCGCAATTTACAAAAACAAGTAGATTCTTGTAAATCTTTCAGTTAAACATTTTTCTAACGAATATCGTTTTAGAGCTTATTGATCGATCGTCCATTATTTCGTAATGTTACTGATATTGAGTTGGAGTTCTCTGACGATGAGTCTAATGTTTCGCTAAATTCACTTTCGGAGTTCATCGATCTTTCTCGATTGATGCACGTGAAAATTTCGAATAGCTATTCGCATAAAATAACTAACCATTTACTAGCAGATATTAAACGTTTCCTTACAGATCTACCAAATCTTACTTCGCTGTTGATTCACAGCGATTTCTACTTAAACAAACCATTTCTTACGATAGAAGAGGTTCTCGCAATTATTCCATCTCACGTCAAATATTTACAAATCCCAATCGATCAAATTGGCCAAATTGATATGGTTTGGCAAACATGTCAAAACCTGTCAATCATCGAATTGCGGGTCAATAAGGACACATTGCTATCCGCAATCGTCAAATGGTTTGACAAGAATAGCGTTAATACAGCATGTATATATGATCGTAAAGCCGTGGTCGTATGGTTGGGAAAGCGGATTTCCCCATCGAGTGAATCAGATCACAGCAGGAAACGAATAAAAGTGCTCAGCAATTCAAAGAAAATCTAGATCATTACTTTTAAGCTTTACTTTAAATAATAAATTTGTCAACAAAAGTGAATGTTAGTTTTATCAAAGATTTTCCCAATGATAGTTTTGACAAATTTCGGCACCCATGGCGATATAGAATCCTTCGTTATTCCGTCTTTTCTCCCGTCGTACAGCAATGGACCTAAATATAATATACAGCTTAATATTCTTCGATTAGATCTATACCTGTCATTGTATTATCCACATAGCTGCCGAAGTAATCAAGTGGGTATTGATAGGAAGCCATGTAAGTGCAAGTTAGGCGATTTTCTTCGAAATGCAAGAAAACATATTCGTAATTATTATTTTATATGACGAAAAAGACGCAATCAATTATGATTTTGATGTTATCGATTTCGACGTGCTCCACTGCATTGAGATGTCATGTACTGTTTTCTAATCATCATTGCACATGGATTTTCAAATATTGTGAAATAACGACACATTTATTTCTTTCATTGAAAGACCATCTGTATACAAGTGAAATTTTGTTCATCGAAAGAGATATTGTTATTTATATGACAAAGATGTGATACCATTACCAGTGGTGCTCTGATAGTTCAACGATCCCGGCATGTGCCGCAACAGTGTAAAGATGTAATCCATTGGTATAAATATCTGTGCCCCACACTACGCATTCAAAATCGCTTTTGATTTGGCAAGAAAATGTTTGACTAATCCTATCACGATAAATCTTTAGATCAGCTAGTGCGTCAGTTATGATAGTATTTTCTATCTCGGCTTTGAGAGATCGCTTTGTGAGCTGATGTTTAGCCCGTAATTTATCCGCTTCACTGAGAAAAACCAACATTTATATTGTATCGGTGTAGCACGCATTCTATATAAACGAAAGAATAGTGGACTGAGAACTAGCATATACTACTTTTATAGCAGTAACACGTTTTATTCTGTCTTTTGCTCTGTTGTTATCACGTTTTCAAATCACCTACATTGTATCTTTTTAAACGCAGGAATCACCGAAAACGATGACGGCAAATACTGTCCGTCTTTTTTTCTTTCTTATTCTAATAAAATGTGCACAGTCGATGGTATTTGACACCGCTTATTTTCTGTAAATACAACTTTCAAAACAGAACAGCTAACAAAGAAATGAGAGCATGCTTGTGCACACTATTGACATCAGCTTAAGCGATATCATAATATTTCTCGTGAGTCACTCTCGTGGGCTTATCGATATGCTTCTTATAAAACGACAAGCTTTTCTTCTCTCAGAACGTAAATTCATAATGCTCGTATTTCTTACAGTTTTGTTTCTACTGGCAGGTAACAGCGACGCTTTACAATGTTTGACGAACTGTTCACTCGGTAAGTATAGGTTTAATACACCACTCGTCGCTGATAACAAGGAATGCCAGCAACGTGTTTCTGCATCGAAATGTTCCGTCAATGTGGAGTTTTTTTATCATTCTAAGACGTACGAAGTTACTCATGAGTATAATTCCAATTCGCGAGATTTCATCTACATTACTATGCAGCCGACTCTATCCTATGATATTCGGTACGCATGCTCAGAGAATACCAATTGTGCTCTTTCGTATATTCAAAATAGAATTACTACAATGACCTCCCAGTACTACGACATTTCTCGTCTCCATGCCCAACTGGCACCACTGATCGAGAATTCTTCTACAAGCAACTCTATCCAATGTTACAATATGAAAAATGCCATCGTTTTATGTGCACCACGCGAAGTCTGTAACGTGGATTATAATCCGCGAGATCACAGAGCGAGATCACGAGGCTGTAAATATCTCAGTATACCTGTGGTAATGGTTTATGACAGCGAAACGTATACATCTTTCGATATTACTTGCAATCGTAATTTATGCAATGGCGACACAACATTGTCCGAAGTCAAAAGAATACTTGCTGAACATGGTTTAACTGATTCTAGTGGTCGACGAATTGCTGCAGGAACTAAGGAGATGGCTTCTGTTTTTCTGCTACTAATCACTTCGATATTTGTCCTGTCTTTTTATTTTTAATACGCATTTTTTATTGTTTTCATAGAATGAATGTAACAATATGGGCAAAAGGCGGTATATAGACCTATAACAATACTTATAATTTTTAACCATGACGTTTTATGTAAAGATATATATGTCAATTTATTTTCTCAATCACATCTAGTTTGAGTCGGAAGCGAACACGTGATAGATTAAATAAAGCACACCAAAAAATGCGAGTCAGCAGTGCTACCATCTGTTCAGGTTCAAAAAGGGATGCATCTGAGGTACAATAATGTTCTGAAAGGGGTACGTCCGTAGGGTACACGATTTTTTCAATGAACACTAAGTATAGTGTCCGTCATAAATCGATTTTGTATAGTAGTTTTAGTATACAAATGTTGTTCCCAATTCCTTCTATTCTTTAAAAATGTTATGAAAATTCTAACATTTATTTCACGAGAAATAGTTCACAAACATATTTTATCTTTCAACATACATCTGTTCAAAAACCAATAAAAATTTAAGTACTTGAAGTAAATTTTCTCTATTTACATAACTCTATTTCTGCTCAATTTTAGCAGATTTAATTAATTCTGGTTGAGATTGTACGAAAGGATAAAAATCGTCACATTTCATCTTGTTGTTCAAACTTATATTTAATTCTGAAGCAATTGCTTCGGTTGCCATCGAGGGTGTGAAGGTGTCCATGACCAATGTAATCGATTCTTCCTATCTTTACTATTACTATACAAAAATAAAGATGTCATTTACAGCCAATAAGTTTATCAATGTTCACCAAATATGTTTTTATTCTTTTGCGAAAGCAAATAGTCCAAGTGGAGTACGGATGGCAGCCCTGGTTTGGACATCGGTCAGTCAATAGAAACTACGTATATTGAGAATGAAACCTTCAAATTCTGTTGATCTTTATTGTCACAAAGTAAAATAAAATTGATTTGAAAGAAATCTTCTCTTTCTCAGAAAATTATCGAAAAAAAAACTAAAAGATTTAAATGTTGAAAATTAATCAATCATTTCGAAACGCATTTTATTTCGATTTTGAGATTTAAAATAAAATGTTTCTTCTTTCAAATGATCAACTCAAAGCGTTGAATTCGATCACTTCCACGATCAACAACATAAAGATTTCCTTCACCATCAAATGATAAACCGTGGGGATAAGATAATTGATTAGACTCATCTCCTTGTCCATTTCCACCAACAATTATTTCACCTTCTTCGTCTCCTTCACACCATCGCATTATTCGATGATTTGCGTGATCTGCAGCATAAATTCGACCCTCATGATCAACAATGATTCCTTGAGGATCATTCAATTGATTCAGATTCTTTCCGTTTCCATTTCCACCAACAACAACAATTCCTTCCTGTGCATCTTTTCTCCATTTCATCACACGATGGTTTCCCCGATCTGAAACATAAAGAGATTGTTCGTCATCGACAAACAGAAAACTTGGACCGTTGAACTGATCGAGTTGATCTCCTTTTCCATTTCCACCAGCAACTAATGTTTCTTTACCCGTTTCTCCTATTTTCCATCGTCTCACTTCATGTTTTTCATAATCAGAAACATAAACAAATCCAAATTTATCCATTGTTAACTGACAACAATCGATATTGCGAATGAGAATCTCCGACTGATTTGTGTTAAAAAACCATCGAATTACTCTTCGATTTCCGAAATCAGCGATGACGATCGAATTATTTCGTTCATCAAAAATCACATCCGTTGGCCAATTCAATTGATTCAAACTGTTTCCTTTTCCGTTTCCACCAGCCACAGTTATTCCTCGATTTTCATTTCTTTTCCATCGAACAATTCGATCATTACCCCAATCCGCAATGAAAATATTTCGATCTTTGTCGATAAATATTCCACTAGGATATGAAAGTTGATTTAAATTGTTTCCTTCTCCATGTCCTCCATAAATTGTCGATCCATTTTGTTTCCATTTCCTCAAAATGAATTCTAAACAAAGAAAAACGAATTCTAATTTCATTAAAATTAACAGTTTTTCATACAAAGACTTTTGCAATGAAATATCTGAAAGGTCTTTTCCTAATCAAAATTGATTTGAGTTTAATTGTTGAAAAGAATATTCACATAAAAATGAATTCAAAGAGAAAGGAAAAGATATTCATTTGTTGATTTAATTAAAATGAGAAACAATTTGATGATTTCGTTTAATAAAGATCGTGAAATTCACTCGATTTCAACAATTTGCGTTTCGATGAAATAAAAGTGAAACTTTTCTTCGTTAATTTTCTCTTTGTCTAAAAACTCAATTTTTCTCGTCATCCTTCATCGTCTCATCAAAATTCAATTCAATGTCAAATTGATCAAATCTGAAAAACAACAAATTTCTCACGAATTCTCTCAAAATAAACTCATCTAATCATTTGAAATCGTTTACATACTTTGAATAACTGTTTTTGAAAGTTTTTCGATAAATATTTGTGAATTTCCATTTAAATTCATTCCCAGTTGATCTTCCGATTGTCTTTTCATTTTCATTAATTGATCTTTGAAATAATTCAAATCAAATTCATTATATTCATTTTCTTTTTGAACTTTTTTCATTTTTTCTGTTATTTCATCAAATTTTCTTTTTAATTTATCGAAATTTTCTCCTCCTTTTTCGATTAAAATATTTCGATATCGTTGAGCTGTTTGTTGAATTAATTCGATCGATTTCTTTTCCCATTGATCAATTTGTTTCATTGAGGAAGAAACGGGTTGTTTTTGATTGATTTGATCCCTAAATTGATCATAATCATTGATAATCGTGTTGAAATCTTCATTTAAATTCTGCAGATGTTTTGTTAAATCGTCAAAACAGAATTCCTGTGAACAACCTCGACAAGGATAAATTATTTTGTCTTTGTTACAAACGAAACATCGTTTTCTGTCATTTGCCATTGCCACTATAAATGAAACAAGATGTTTTGTTAAATACTTGTTTAAAGTGTTCGAGATAAAAAGATAAGTTTCGAGTCAAAGTCAATAAAATCAACAACGTGACGTGTTTACAGAGAATTTTTTTTCGTTGAGAAAAGTTAAATTTTTATCATGTTACTCGTCCTGCATAATTACTCGAATAAGCGAAAGTCATGCTCTTTTGTTAATAACTAGAGACATCCTTGATGAATTCGAATGGAAACGAAGTTTTATCATAACAAAAAGAAACGTATTGAAAACTCGAAGAACAGTTGATAGTTTTTGGACGGTGTAATAGACATTTCTGCCATTTTTGGCTGTTATTCTATTGGGTTTGATATAAACTATCGCCCAAACTTTTCTTTTCCTGAGAAGAATATTTGAATCAATTAGAAAGATTTTTCAAGTGTATTTTTGTCAAATTTCCGATGAATTGAAATGAAAATATTTTGACTTTCATCAACAAATATTCCAATAGGACGTGATACAATTGATCTTTCTTTTTACATATACTTCTCTACTTAAGTATGTTTCGTATTTGTTATATTATCATCGATGAATAATCTTAGAAGCATGTCATTATCACAAGTTTATCTGGTTCTTAGCGAAAAATGTTTCTCCGTTCGTAAACAACCAGCGGCTATTACAGTTGTCACTCATCTTGAATGGGTTATTTGTTTTATATCCTTGTTGTGTTTGGTTTTAGGGTGGATCTGATCGAATTGGCAGCAGAAAAATCAATAGTTACTCCGTTATCTTCACTCTTCTCTGAAACGACCTTTGTTTCTGAACAGAAGAACATTTTCTTTGATGAAGTAAACGGCATATTTTTCATTGAAAAATAAAACTCGTTCTTCGTTTATTTAATGAAACCTGAGTTTCCCGATCAAATAGATAGGTCTCTTTTGACGTCCATGAACATTTCATTTGTTTTAATTCTTTACACACGTTACGTAAACGTATACTTTAATTACTTTCTCGATGATCCTTTGTCTTCTTCTGAATATTAAATCTGTCGAATAAAAAGAAGTTAGAAAGAACAAATGTGTGTGAAATCGACTCTCACCCTTCATCATAATGATCATTCCATTGATTCTTCTATTACTTTTCAATTGTATTCAAACTATTCAAGTCGGTTTTATACAAAATGTTTATTTAAATGTACCGAATTTTTCATCTATTCTTATTTATGGTTCATGTGATCAATGTTTATGTTTAATGATAAATTCAAATCAAACGNTTGAAAAGTTTGAACATTCGCCTGTGTCTTCCAGCGACAAACCGATTCTTTTCTCTCCTGTCAACAAAATGATACCTTGTCGAATATTTTCATTGAGGAATATCCATTCGTCAAATCCCTTTCAAAACTATCGGAAGCCTGGCAAGGCTATTCTAAGCGTACATTTTAGGACTAATCTAGCATTTAAACGCCTAGTCGTTCTTCGACCTCCCTCCGGTCGGCCACTCATGGCTAGCCGTTGCCATGCTGTCTCTGTTATTCCTTTCGCCTTCGATCGACTTTCAAACTGAACGATTGGGTTTTCTTTTATTGTCGCTTCTACAGTCATGATCTTCCATTCATTCGACTACCCAAAGAAACTAGATAAGAAATTCTTATTGTATGATTTGCTTTGAAGCGAACATCTTTCATAGTGCTGCATGTGCTCAGAATACTGTTTCTACAGTCCACGCGTCTGTAATTACTAAGATGGAATTCCACCGACGGGTATATCACTTTTTGAACTACTTCTACTAAATTTCCATAAAAAGACATGATGTATGTAGCCTACAAAGCAAAGACGATACTAAGCTCACATCACTTTTTCGGACTTCATCAATTAGAAACATCAATATGTGCAATGCATTAGATCTTTTCGTGTAAGTTCTTGAGCTACTATCTTTGTACACATGACGTCCGTGAATAGCGTTCAGCTCACCATCTACTACAAAAGATTTTAGAACAGAGAAACAAAAATATCTCCTTTGTAAAGAGGCAGGAACAAGCCCAGGCTCAGCGAATAAAACGAAATTCGCCCTCAAATTCGAATTGCCCGACGTCAGAAATCCTTCGGTCTACTCTGACAATGAATGTTAATAAGTTGTGGCTAGTTAATGAAAAACTAATAATTAATTAGTCAACACTAACCTCGGATTCGTGATCCTCGGTCCCGACTACGCTTTGGTCAACCCTTACGCAGCAACGAAGAAAATTTTCATTACTTAATTAGCTAATGAGCTGATTGGAATGTCGAGAAACTAACCTCAGGCTCAAGCTTCCCGACCTCGATTACTCTACTGGTAATCATTTTCTAACACTATCGACCAATTTCATTGATTTTAGAGATGCTGATTTCTGATTGAATAGGACAGACAGACGGACAAACTTTAAGCTTTTTAACACAGCATTTAAACGCTGTATAACCCTTTCTTTCAGAAAAGGGAAAAATTCAATTTTTATTTGATATTTTCGAAAGCTATGAAAAACAATAATCAATAAGATCAAAATGAGAATATCGTCCATCCCAGAATTGCATCTTTGTTTATACAGAACGTTCTATTATCGTGAATGATCAATCGAGTTCCCTGAGGGAAATTTTTGAATAGGATAACTGCTCAATTCGAATGAAATACTTCCACATAAGTTTATTTACAGACATCTGCGATTTCTTTGACAAAGCTGATCTTCTCATTGATTTTGTGTCTTGGAGTATCTACGCATGCTCATTTATACTTCATTTGTCACACTATCGGATTAACAGAGGTCATTTCTGGAGTTTCGATGCTGTATTCGAGGTCAATGTTTACAGTAGAAAGTAGGAGTACGAGTACGAGAGAGAGTAGAAGTGAAGGAGATTGAAATTTCTGAATTCCAAGTTTCTGATTGAAGAATTGCATTTTTCTAACATTAACTAAAAAACGAACCACTTTCATCATATTTCGCGAATTTTTATTTAGAAATAGAACTTCTCATTTCGTTCATATGAATTATTCACGAGAACACTTCTTCTAGTGACATCGCACTAGTATACTTCTGTGATCTCAGCACGAGGACCAAAAGATCCGCCAACAACCAAGACTCTTCCACTAGTCAGTAAAGATGCTGTATGATAAGAGCGATGATATTTCATGTCACCGGTGGCTGTCCAAGCGCCGGTCGATGGATCGTACACCTCAGCACTGCCTAAAGAGTGATCGGGGTGTCCTCCAACGACTAATACTTTTCCGTTTGGTAACAAAGTTGCTGAATGAGTACAGCGTGGGGTGTTCATACTGCGTGTTGTGGTCCATATATTCGTCAATGAGTTGAACAATTCAGCCGAGTTCCACATCTCTCCGACTAGACCACGTCCACCAGTTACCAGCACTCTTCCATCTTGGAGCACAGTTGCTGTATGACCATAGCGATCAATTTTCATGTCATTTGTTCTGATCCATGCATCTGCTCTCGGATCATACAACTCACTCGTCTTTGAGAATATACCTATGGAGCAAAAATCCAATCCACCGGTGATTAGTACTTTTCCATTTGTTAGCAACGATGCTTGATTATATGCACGACTGCAGTTCATGTTTTGAGTAGCTGTCCAAACACCTGTCTGAGGATCGTATAGTTTTGCAGTATCGTGAGGCATTCCTTCATCGTTGCGGCCACCTGCAACGAGCACTTTTCCACTTTGTAGTACAGTGGCTGTGTGCTTCGATCGTTCCTGGGCCATGCTTCGTGTGTTTATCCACGTATTCGCTGATGCGTTGTACAGTTCAGCAGTCGAAACCTCTCCATCAGAATTTTCGCCGCCAGTCACTAGGACTAAACTATTACGTAACAAAGATGCGGTGTGATCTTCCCTTGCGACAGACATGCCTGTAGCGAGTTCCCATAGATTTTTTGATGGATCATACAGTTCACAGTCACGAAGAACTCCTTTGTCATTGTATCCACCGGTGATCAATACCTTTCCATTCTGCAATACAGTTGCAGTATGCCGCTCCCGATTGATGTTTAGCTCTGCTGCTGTTGTCCATACTAAACACATTTCACACCGTCGAATAATGCTCATTCAAAGAATTACTCTTCTCAACGGAACTCTACGGGGAGGAATCTGATCCTTTGTCGTACTAGGGTGTAAGTGTACAATAGGTGTGCGCAGAAAGAACGGATGTTTAGACCTTTCGGGGACATGGTTGTAGCAGTTGTTGTTGTTCTCCGTCTTGCTACAGTAACCAATAGATCTGAATGTTTCTTTGCCATAATTATTGAAACGATAACGCATATGGTCACCATTAGTGCTGTTGTTAGACTCGTTA